TTTTTTTGAAAAATCAAAGAAATCAATTTCATGATATGAAGGGATTTTTTCCTTTCACAATACACATTATTTAACCCGAAATACGTTTTAATTAAAGGTGAACTATTAAAGAATCCCACTAATCTCGCTTAATTGATTGCTATCAAATTAATATCCGATAATTCAAAGAAATAAAAATCCCTTAATTGAAGGGAGTTTGAATTTAAACCTCATATTTGTATTTGGTTTATCCGATAGATTTTTTCAAATTTTAGACTTTTTTTTTTTCTACTTTGCTATCCGATAATAATATGTCTAGATACATAGCAAAATGAATGAATCAAAAAAGTCAAAACAATTTATAATTTGAAACGGAGGGAGTACGATATATCATCCATCATAAATTCCAATATACATCCTATAAATATCCTGCATACTAAACAGAAAATACATCGTACACGCATCTATAAAATACAAAATCCCAAATATCAAAAACAACATCAATCGCCAATGGAAGCTCCCTTCGGTGTCATTAACGATATTCGAAGAAGCAAGAAATGTCCACTGAAACTTCGTGTGGTTTCAATGCATGAGCTCGAGTCACCCAATCCTCAACGCAACTTCTTGAGGAGTTAGCAAATAATCAAACTCATAATGTTGTGTACAAGGAGGTTGTAGACATCGAAATTTTAATATTTTATTAATTAATGTATTTATTTATTTTGAGACATAAATCCAAGATAAATAAGATATTTAATTAATAAATTATTTATTTCTTGCCCACCAAGTCAAATCTTAGGATAAGGAAAGAGATTATATCAAATCTTTGGATAAGGAAAGAGATTATATCAAATAGAGAATGACCAATCAAATTAATGTCTTCTTTTCCAAGACTCTCTTTCCTACACCTATAAATAGGGCTCTCCTCAATGCCACAAATCACACCTAAAACACCTCAAACACCTAAAAAAATATCAAACACATCTCAAAGATTAAAGTCTCAAATTCAAGAGCTCTCAAGAACCCTCTTGAAGATTTGAAGAAGTTCTTGAAGAACCGCCCGAAGTCCATTCAATGAAGAAGAAGGCCAAGAAGAAGAAAAGGAGACGGCGACTCTTCCCCAAGAAGTAAAGAGACGACTTCCACTTCTCTCAAGTCAATCCAAGAATATCAACGACGTTCAAACGACATTCAAGCCCCGTTCGTTGAGAAGTTCAACCAACATAGCGTTCAATTCGAGAAAAAGCTATCAAGCCCTCGAGTCAACGTTATTCAAGTCAAAGTCTCTCTTTCCAGAAGATCAAAGAAATAAGTTCTCCAAGAAGTTGTCTTTAATCAAGTCAAGGCCTAACATTTAATACGGGAATAAGTCATTCGACCCCCAAATTAATGTTAACGAAATTCAAGACCAAGCCTGAAGGAGGTTCAATCATCAAATCCATCTTTCAAGGTCTCAATCCCAAATTCATGAAGAGAAAGAATCAGAGGAGATAAATAGAGATTGTACCCGCATATCGTTTGATCAAAATAAATCAAGTTGTAAAGAAAGTTTTATGTTTTTTCATAAAATTTGTTGTTACAGAGGTTTTTAATAATATATGATTGTGACGTCAAGAACATTTTATGATTCAATAATGTTCCTATATATTTTAATGATTTCGATTTCGATCCTAATGCCCGTCAAATTATATTATTCTTCAAAATTATACAGTCCGTGCATCGCACGGGTTACGTAGTAGTTTATATTAAAAAGAACTAATTCTTTTGCAATTTTAATTCATTCGAGGGATTTTTTTCAATGATATCATATCATATTAAATGTCACCGTATATATCATTTCCAAAACGTCTACCTATTTGCATGGCGTTTTTTTTGGATAAAACACTATTTCAATCCTATCAAACAATATTAACAAGAATTTAGAGGTTTTAACTATATATAACTCTGTTTTCATCATCTTTCAACATCCCCAAGACTTTGTTTGAGATGTATGTGACGAGGCCTCTTTCCCAAGTGCTGAAATCTCCGAAAATCGGGCAGCCCGACGGCCCGAATTCCGGCTGCTTAGTGATCGAAGACGAGGAATCCGTAACCTACTCGTTTTTCGGGTTGTGGCGGAATCGGAAGCTCAAATTTCTGCCTTTTCCTCAGGACAAAGAGCTTCGTGTTCGTTACACGAAGACTAACGGCTTGACAATCACCGTATTCGAGGATCACGTTTTCTTGATCCCGGTGATCAATCAGCCGCTCGACTCCAATCGGTATTATGCGATCGTCCCACATGGATCGCGAAAAGGGTACGTAATAAAATTATAAATGTGTTTGCGTGTTTTTTTTGTTGTTGCCTTTTGTCTTTTAAGTTTGGTTTGAAATGATGATTGTAATTAATTTGAGGACTACCTACTACTACTAAACCACGCACTTGAGAAGTTTCGAAAATTTGTGGAGAAGTCCCGAGCTTTAGTTTGTCGTTTTGTTTCGATTGGGGGCAGCCTTGATATTTCGACAAACATAAGGGGGGCTTTCGAGAAAATTTTCTTGGTCTCTCGAGTCATATATCACCACTCGAGGGGTGTAATTTGGAATAAACGCAGAGCTTAGTAGCTTGTAGTCTTGCACTGATGGGGAATAGAGATTCTTGTATGAGACTGCCTTACTGTTAGACGAGGCGACCTGACATGCTTTTTCAAACCAAAAAATTGCATGTGTTGTATAAAATGTCATACTTTTGTTTGCGTTGCTTCTTAGAATATGAAATTTCATTTTGAAAGCATGCATATGTGTTGAAAATATATGATATATGCCGTTAGGTCTGCTGAATGTGAAGTATATGCGAAATGATAGATGTGATGCCATATGAATTTAGGACCCCTATACAAGTCTTGAATTTTGCTCAAAAGGTAGTTCAGATCTTAATTTAGCTAATTTGGTGGGAAAAATAAAAGTGAATTTCTTGAATCCGAAAGTATTTATTTTCTTATCACAATCAATTTCTTCAACCCGAGTTTCAGAGAAGCATATACCTGCTCAAGGGAAGATGATAAGACCACCTGCTGTTTCTGCCGTTTGGTGAACGACGTCGAACCGAGGCCGTTAGATCCACAAAACGTTTATCAGCAATTTCAAATAGCTTCGTACCACTGCGGCTGCTCGGGTTGCTTTATCGCCACCTCCAAAGCTCTCGACGGCTTCCCACCGTCATTCCTTCGCCGAGAAGGTTGGACCACCCACACAAAGACCACTCACAATATCAAGCTTGATACCGCAAACGGCCTCGACCCTGTACTCCGGGCCTGCCTCCCGAATTTCGATTTCTCCATTTCTCGAGAGTTTTCCGAGCCTTTAGTCGTCGGGAAATGGTATAGCCCTTTCGTGTTCATAAAGGAAAGGACTCTGCGTGAACAAGTAAAGTTTTCGATGTACTATGAGTGGACGCTCGAGAAAAGATGGGAAAGGATATTTGCTTGCCGTAATAAGGGTAACGATAACCGAGTGGTGATTGACGACGTGTTTGAGGACGAACGAGCATTTGTCGGTGGGGTTAGAGGCGAGTGGGACGAGAAGAGTTCGGTTGATGGGGTGGTTTCGTATGTGGGCTACGTTAGTGGGGGAGAGAAAAAAACGAGCGTAGGGTTGAGAGTGGAAATAGTCGAGCGAATGAGGTGGGAGGAGTCGAGAGGCGGCTGGGCAGGCGGGGCCGGGGGGCGGGTGAGGGTTAGTAAGGTGGAGGAATGTGAGGGGTGGGATGAGTTTGGATTGTATGTGTTGGTTGAGAGGTTCAATTTGAGGAGGATGGATGGGAGTTTGGTGTTGTTTTGTGACTTTAGGCACTTTCACCATGTGAGGGCTAAGTGGGAGTAGTTTATGAGAGGTGTGTTTGTGTGGGAGGAAATAAGTTAATTGTGGATTGATTGATGTTTCTTCTCGTTCTAGTGACTCGGTCTAGCTTTTTAGGTTTATTTTGCTTATACTTTTTGTGTTTTTTCTTAGTTTTGTTGTTAAATGGATCGGTTTTGTGTGTTTGAGTCGATTTTCCCACATGAAGTCTAATGCTTGGTCGATATTGCTAATATTTTATTTGGGTAAACATGTTTATTTCATTTTGAAATGAATTGCTTAACTTTATGCCTTTCAATGAGTTGAACCTCGGTGATTCCAAGTCCATTGAAGATTTGTGATGTGGAACACATAACTTAGAGTCATGGCCTTGTTTTCTCCATTGTAATTCCCGATTGGTCAATACTTTGAATTTCCCTTCTTTGAAGATTCATGTGTAAAAGCTCGTGTCCGTAATCTATTATCGTTATTACACATCGTGATGTTTTGTTTTGTTCATATATTGATTGTATTCACATAGCTGTGTGGATTTTTTTTTTCCATCTCTAAAAAAAATATGAATAAAATTTGAGTTCGCGAGGAAGTACATACTAGACTCACTTTTTTTCGATCCACTTCATGAAATGGGATAATGAGCTCGAGAAACTAGTCTAGGATACTCGAGGAAACCCCTCAAGGCTACACTTAGATAATAATCGTCCAGAAATTTCCTTTGGAAAAAGAAGCTGGACGGGAAAAAAAATAAAATAAAACAAATAGTTAAATAAAATGAGTTCGTGAGAGTTGAAATTATTAGACTCCGCTTGATCTAGTTAGTCTCCTCCTAGATGGATCGGGTCAATGAGTATGAGAAACTGGCCTAGGATACTCGGGGACAAACCCCAAAGTTAAACCTACGTAATAATCATCTTAACAACTCTCATTTGGAAAAATTGACTCATGTAAAAAAAAAAAGGAAAAAAATGAATAAAGAGGGGGAAACTTGATCTTATGCCGTTGATTTTATTGTTTATATTTGAATTGGCTTATAGTCCCTTGGTCTTGTTGAAAATATTTGTATTAGGGGACCAAGAGTACACATATGTTGCATGGGTGGAATTGTAAAAGTTGCCTTGTGACGAGTCGATCATATGTGGAAATGCATTGGACGTGCTTTGTTTTGTATGATTCAAGATTGTGGGGAACTTATTTTCAAATTGAATATCGACTATAAGAATCCCGGGGCAAAATGAGATTGACATGTTTTAAGACATGATAAATGAACGGACAAATTTATCTTTTCGAAAGGTTAGCAAAATTGTTTGTTTGAGAACAAACAAATGACTAAGTGTGGAGGAGTTGTTTTGTATGTTTTTGTTGTTATTTTGTGTATTAAGTGTTTTATTTTATTTTAGATTTTTTCAGGTCCATTTAGTGGTTTTTGCTCATTTTTGCGTTTTCGTGTTGTTTTATTGTCTTGTGTTTTTTATTTCTCTTTTTAACTTTTATTTTTGTAGAAAATTACACTCCGAAATGTTGTCGAGAAATGCACCGGAATTGCCAAAAATTCGCCCGAAAAAGCATGCAGTCGAGAGCTCGCGAGGCCCGTGCATCTCCGAGCACTTGCGGTGAACTAGATTTGGCAACCTAACGACCTAAGTCTCGCCAGCGAACCGTGACTCCCAAGGTGATTGGTCGAAAAAAACATGTACTTATTAGTGTATTTTTATATATTTAATCTTATCGCACATGTATGTTTTTCAACTTATTGATTTATTAGATGAATTCAAGTGCTATGCTATTTTTATGGTTTATTTTCAGACTATTTGATTACTTTTATGGATGACGGGACATTAAACAGAAGTTCCGACCGACAGAATACGGAGGTACCCCATACCTGTCAAGTTTTTGGGCCCATTGACACCATATACAAAATCGGACCCAAAACGTATGAAGACTCATTGGGACCATAATTAAGTATTATATGATGAACAAGAACAAATAAAACTGTTATTTTCTCTTATATAAATGAATAAATATATATAATTAAATTACATTTATATTAGTATAAATGTATTGGTGAGATAATATATTAATTATTTTATGAGCTAGCCTTAATTAACATGTTCATAGTTAATGTTATGGTAAAAAGAACAATGTTGATTAAAAGAGGTGAAAAATAGATTGTAACCCTATTATTTTTTAATTAATTAAAAAAGATGAAAAATAGATGATAACCCTATTACTCTTTAGACTTAGACGGGCAGAGCCTGTGAAAATAACTCATTTAATAGCTCTGTCGCGTGCATCGCGCGTGCTATGTACTAGTGAAAATTAAGTGGGTTTATGGTAAAATGTGGCACATGACAATTGACATATCAGATGCCTACAGGTCCTTTTCTGTTTGCCAAGCCTTAGTAAGCGCCAGCTATTTGGATAATCTGTTAGCAGCCACAGGCAGAGCACTGATATTTCATCAGCTAACTGTCGAAAATCAAATTGCTTCTATTTTTTTTTTTTTTTCATTTTCTTTTTATATATATTCCCCATGGAATAGTCATATATGAAGTACCTAAGTTAATAAGTTGAACTATACATAACTAACTCTGTTCCATCATCTATCAACATCCCCCCAAGACTTTTTGAGATGTATGTGACGAGGCCTCTTTCCCAAGTGCTGAAATCTCCTGAATTTGGGCCGCTCGACGGCCCGAATTCCGGCTGCTTAGTGATCCAGGACGAGGAATCCGAGACCTACTCGTGTTTCGGGTTGTGTCGGAATCGGAGGCTCAAACTTCTGCCTTTTCCTCAGGACAAAGAGCTTCTTGTTCGTTACACGACGACCAATGGCCAGACAACCACCGTTTCCGAGGATCCCGTTTTCTTGATCCCGGTTATCAATCAGCCGCTTGACTCCAATCGGTATTACGCGATCGTCCCACATGGAAAGCGAAAAGGGTACGTAATAAAATTATAAACTCGCTTGTGTTTGTGTTTATGTGTTCTGTTTTGTTATTGCACTGCTCGGGAACAAAAATTCTTGAATGAGACTGACTTACTGTTAGATTATGATATTTCAGTTTGAAAGTATGCATATTTGTTGAAAAAATGTGATACCATTAGGTCTGATTAACAGTACTTCAGAACTTAGTTTAGCTAATTTGGTGGGAAATAATTGAAAGAGAATTTCTTCAATCCGAAAGTATTTATTTTCTGACACTCACTTTCTTCAACCTGATTTTCAGAGAAGCATATACTTGCTCAAGGGAAGATGATAAGACCACCTGCTGTTTCTGCCGTTTCGTGAAAGACGTAAAACCGATGCCGTTAGATCCGCAAAACACTTATCAACAATTTCAGATAGCTCCGTACGAAGAGCTTTGCAGTCGCACGGGTGGCTTTATCGCCACCTCCATAGCTCTCGACGACGGCTTCCCGCCGTCATTCCTCCGCCGGAAAGGTTGGACCATCCACACAAAGACCCCTCACAATTTCAAGCTCGACACCGCAAACGGACTTGACCCTGTGCTCCGGTCCCGCCTCCCGAATTTTGATTTCCCTATTTCCTTAGAGTTCTCTGAGCCTTTAGTCATCGGGAAATGGTATAGCCCCTTCGTGTTCGTAAAGGAAGGGACTCTGCACAAACAAGTAAAGGGTTCGTTGTATTATGAGTGGACGCTCGAGCAAAGATGGGAAAGGATATTTGCTTGTCGTAATGAGAGTAACGATAACCGAGTGGTGATTGACGATGTGTTTGAGGACGAACGAGCATTTGTCGGTGGGGTTAGAGGCGAGTGGGATGAGAAGAGTTCGGTTGATGGGGTGGTTTGGTACGTGGGCTACGGTAGTGGGGGAGAGAGAAAAACGAGCGTAGGGTTGAGAGTGGAAATAGTCGAGCGAATGAGGTGGGAGGAGTCGAGAGGCGGCTGGGTAGGCGGGGCCGGGGGGCCGGTGAGGGTTAGTAAGGTGGAGGAGTGTGAAGGGTGGGGTGAGTTTGGATTGTATGTGTTGGTTGAGAGGTTCAATTTGAGGAGGATGAATGGGAGTTTGGTGATGTGTTGTGATTTTAGGCACTTTCACCATGTGAGGGCTAAGTGGGAGTAGTTTGTGTGGGAGGAAATTAAGTTAATTGTGGATTGATTATAAATGTTTGGATCTCTAGTGTGCCTTGTTCTTGGCCATTGTGGATGTGTGTGTTTTGCTTCCAATTGTTTGTGTTGTGGCAACTATGTTGGGATGTGTGTTTTGTTCTTGGCCATTGTGTGTGTGTGTGTGTTTTTGCTTCCAATTGTTTGTGTTGTTGTAACTATCTAGGTGTGTGTCTTGGTCTTGGCTAGTGTGTGTATGTTTGTGTTTGCTTCCAATTGTTTGTCTTGTTGTAACTATCTTGGTGTGTGTCTTTGTTCTTCGCTATTGTGTGTGTGTTTTGTAACTATGTTTGTAACGCCCAGATTTTTATATTACTATTTATGGAGCTCGACTTTATTTCCATAAATATTAAGTTTCTAAATCTAATGCATTATTTATATTTATTAGCATTAAATTAAATAATTAGAATTAAAGTCTAAGCCATGAATAATTCTTCCGACTTTAATTATTAAAGTTGGAATTTTATTTAAGTGATCCGAAGCCGGATAATTTAATTATATCGAGCCCAAGTCCAATTTTATTCCAGTCCATTTTTAAGATCAAACAAACAGTCGATTTTAATTCCGGGCCCATTATTAGTAATTATTTCGACCGACTAATTTAATTAGTCCTAGTTCGATTTATATTATTTAGCAAGCCCGAGCATTTAATTTCCTGGTTCATATTCGATTTATATTCTAGCCCGTTTATGTAACGATTTTTAGGCCCAACTCTCTAGCCCGATTAAAGCCCAACAAGGAGAAAACCCTAATCCCTCCCTCATTCTATAAATAGCACATGTCTCCCAACAACACATCAAGACACAAAACCGTAGCCTCTCTTTTACTATTCATCTTCTTCCTCAACACACCATCACCATTTTAGCTTCATTATTCAAGATCCCTTCTACATCCATAGCTAATATACCAAGATCCATGGCTTGAGCTTCATCTTCTCCCGAAATCCGGCGACCCCTAGCGTTTTCCGGCGAACCCGCAGCTCGAGCTCCATTTCCGGTCATCTTCCCCGGCGAGCTCGCCATAGCTCGCGCCTCAGTCCTCAGCCCTTGTTCAGTCCGCGACCAGCTGTACCAAATCGCGACCAGCTCCTCCACGCGCAACCAAATCGCGACCAGCTGCCCGCAGCTCCAGCCCGTCCAAGCTCGAGCTCCGTTTTCTGGCAAGACGACGTCCAGGTTCACGTCGTCCTTTTTCTCTGCGAACCAGCACCTCCGGGTAGCAATCAGCAGCAACCCGCGACAACCATCTCCGCGAGCTCGACCAAGCTTATCCTCTTTTCCGGCGACCCGCTGCCCTCGCTCCAACCCGCGTCCAGCTCGTTTTTCCGGCGATTTCACTTCACAAGGCCCGACCAGATCCGCTCAGCAGCTCCATTCTCGACCCTAGCTCCGACCAGCAGCAGTTTTGGACCATTTTCAGCAACATTGAAGCTTTAAATCCGGTCCGATTTGTTTCTTGGACTCTTGTTCTTACCCGAACTATTTTCGGTCCACCCGATCTGAGTCGTTTTAAGGTATAATCACTAGATCTCGGTTTTGATGGCTTAGACATAATATTTGAATTGATATGAAAGTATAAATTGGGTGATTTGAGCGATTTTGAATAAATCGGGATTTTCGGGCTTAAAGCTAAAATGTTCGACTTTTTAAATTAATGCGATAAAATGTTGAAATAAATACTATAAAATTCGTTACGTCATTTTGAGGCGTAGGATTAAATTTCATAATTTTCGAACTTGGTTTGGTAGGTAAACGAGTCGGTCAAATGCGTTGACCGTTCGTAGCGATCTTTAGTTGACTGAGTTAGGAGTTGACTTTTGACTTGAGATGTTGACCATAGACTATATATATATTTAGGATGTTATGTTTTGATTTTCGTAAATTTTGGATGTTGTTTGACTTGGTTATAAAATCGAGACTTTAGATATTAATGCCGTAAAAATAAAATATTAGATTGATTGAGACTTTAGCTGCAGTTGTGGATTATAGATTTATTATAAGTCACATAGAATATATATATTAATTATCGGCCTTAAATGAGTTAGGATTTTTGAGAAATCAAAACCCTAGTTTTATCCGATTTCGATAACCGGGTATTTTTCCAGATCCGATTATAATTGTTTGAACCTTAGTATCGTCTGGATAATTTGTAACACCCCACTTTGATTTTACAGAAATTTCGAATTTTCCAAAAATTTTCAAAATCATTTTCGAAAACATAGTGGGTGTTAACTAACATTTTCATAACCCAAGTCTTATCTGGGCCT